CATCTCCATGCACTAAGTCACCTCTTCTCCATGCACTAAGTCACCTCTTCTCCATGCACTAAGTCACCTCTTCTCCATGCACTAAGTCACCTCTTCTCCATGCACTAAGTCACCTCTTCTCCATGCACTAAGTCACCTCTTCTCCATGCACTAAGTCACCTCTTCTCCATGCACTAAGTCACCTCTTCTCCATGCACTAAGTCCCCTCATCTCCATGCACTAAGTCACCTCTTCTCCATGCACTAAGTCACCTCTTCTCCATGCACTAAGTCACCTCTTCTCCATGCACTAAGTCACCTCTTCTCCATGCACTAAGTCACCTCATCTCCATGCACTAAGTCACCTCATCTCCATGCACTAAGTCACCTCTTCTCCATGCACTAAGTCACCTCTTCTCCATGCACTAAGTCACCTCTTCTCCATGCACTAAGTCACCTCTTCTCCATGCACTAAGTCACCTCATCTCCATGCACTAAGTCACCTCATCTCCATGCACTAAGTCACCTCTTCTCCATGCACTAAGTCACCTCATCTCCATGCACTAAGTCACCTCATCTCCATGCACTAAGTCACCTCTTCTCCATGCACTAAGTCACCTCTTCTCCATGCACTAAGTCACCTCTTCTCCATGCACTAAGTCACCTCATCTCCATGCACTAAGTCACCTCATCTCCATGCACTAAGTCACCTCTTCTCCATGCACTAAGTCACCTCTTCTCCATGCACTAAGTCACCTCTTCTCCATGCACTAAGTCACCTCTTCTCCATGCACTAAGTCACCTCTTCTCCATGCACTAAGTCACCTCTTCTCCATGCACTAAGTCACCTCTTCTCCATGCACTAAGTCACCTCTTCTCCATGCACTAAGTCACCTCTTCTCCATGCACTAAGTCACCTCTTCTCCATGCACTAAGTCACCTCTTCTCCATGCACTAAGTCACCTCTTCTCCATGCACTAAGTCACCTCTTCTCCATGCACTAAGTCACCTCTTCTCCATGCACTAAGTCACCTCATTCTCCATGCACTAAGTCACCTCTTCTCCATGCACTAAGTCACCTCTTCTCCATGCACTAAGTCACCTCTTCTCCATGCACTAAGTCACCTCTTCTCCATGCACTAAGTCACCTCTTCTCCATGCACTAAGTCACCTCTTCTCCATGCACTAAGTCACCTCTTCTCCATGCACTAAGTCACCTCTTCTCCATGCACTAAGTCACCTCTTCTCCATGCACTAAGTCACCTCTTCTCCATGCACTAAGTCACCTCTTCTCCATGCACTAAGTCACCTCTTCTCCATGCACTAAGTCACCTCTTCTCCATGCACTAAGTCACCTCTTCTCCATGCACTAAGTCACCTCTTCTCCATGCACTAAGTCACCTCTTCTCCATGCACTAAGTCACCTCTTCTCCATGCACTAAGTCACCTCTTCTCCATGCACTAAGTCACCTCTTCTCCATGCACTAAGTCACCTCTTCTCCATGCACTAAGTCACCTCTTCTCCATGCACTAAGTCACCTCTTCTCCATGCACTAAGTCACCTCTTCTCCATGCACTAAGTCACCTCTTCTCCATGCACTAAGTCACCTCTTCTCCATGCACTAAGTCACCTCTTCTCCATGCACTAAGTCACCTCTTCTCCATGCACTAAGTCACCTCTTCTCCATGCACTAAGTCACCTCTTCTCCATGCACTAAGTCACCTCTTCTCCATGCACTAAGTCACCTCTTCTCCATGCACTAAGTCACCTCTTCTCCATGCACTAAGTCACCTCTTCTCCATGCACTAAGTCACCTCTTCTCCATGCACTAAGTCACCTCTTCTCCATGCACTAAGTCACCTCTTCTCCATGCACTAAGTCACCTCTTCTCCATGCACTAAGTCACCTCTTCTCCATGCACTAAGTCACCTCTTCTCCATGCACTAAGTCACCTCTTCTCCATGCACTAAGTCCCCAGTGCCTTTTGGCCTCTAGGTTCTCAATTCATTGCATTCTCTTCAGTCACACACACCCTCTCTCTCTATCTCTCTCTCAACTTCGACCTCGGTGTGTCTGTTGTCCTTTTCTTTTCCTCGCCCTCCCTCCTTCTCCCTCCCACCCGCCCCTCATGGCAGCGGAGGGACAGTGGCAGTGATTGTAGACTCAACGCTCCTCACAACCTTCTGCCTTCCCCCCATTCCATTCCCTCATCTTTCCTCCCCTTCCCCCCCACCTGCCTCTCCCTCCCCATTCACAGTTCCTCCCCAAGGCAGCACGGTAGCACAAGGACAACGACTGTGAGTTTACCTTTGAGGCTCCACACAACTCGACCTCGCCTTCCCTCCCCTTCCCTCCCCGTCCCACCCTCCCTCCCCGTCCCACCCTCCCTCCCCCTCTCGCAGTTCTTTCAGCCAAGGCGCCACGGCACAACGACAACGACAGCGATGCGGAGGACTGGGCTCCTCACGAGTCACAACCTCCTGTCCCCCTCCCCGTCCCCCTCCCCCCTCCTCTTTTCGCAGTTCTTCTCAGCCATGCCGCCCAAGGCGCCACGGCACAAGGACAACGACAGCGATGCGGAGGACTGGGAGGGGGGCGACGGGCGGGTGGGGGGGAGCAAGGCTCATGTCAATGGGTCACAGGCGTATCACTCCCTTTCTCCCAGATCGTACGTCCTGTTTCTGTGCCTGCATGCATGCATGCACTGTTTTTGAGGCGCCTTAAAAATTGAGGCGCCTCAAAACAAGGTTCATGTCAACGGGTCGTCACAGGCGTATCACTCGCTTTCTCCCAGATCGTACGTCCTGTTTTTTGTGCCTGCCTGCATGCACTGTTTTGTGTTGCACTGCACGCACTGCTGTTAAAACCGCAGTGCATGCAGCAGATGCTGCTTGCAGTCCTGCAGTCTGTGAGATGCGCAGTAATCCACGTCCCCTCTTCTGTATCAAGTGAAGTTTTGACACATCTCAGAACTTCACTTTGTTCACGATGTGCAGTAATCCACGTCCCCTCTTCTGCTGGATGCGGTCTTCCAGCTCCTTCTCGTGCCGCCCTTCATGTCGAGTACCCAAAACGAGTCTACCTAGCCGTTTCCGTTCACAGTCGCGGATCCAACTGCTCTGTTTGCCACCTGAAGTTCTGTATGGGTCGTTAGGAGAGCAGGGCGGAAATGTATGTTTCTGCTTGCACACGCAACCAACAGTGGTGTTTGTTTCTGCTTTGCTGTCGGCCCTGCTCGTATATACCTCCTTACTTGCCGCTCTCCCTTGTGCTTGTCGTGTGCTCTGTGCATGCTGTGTATGTTTTGGGCATGTGTGCATGTGTGCCTACCTGTCTCTATGTGTGCATATACTGTTTGCATGTGGATGTGTTGTGTATGCACATGTGCATGTGCTTGTATGTGCATGTGCATGTGCATGTGCATGTGCATGCATGCCATCAACCATACATGGCTTGGCAGCATGTTGGCAAGGGAGTCATCACTAGTGGAGATGGCAGCAGGGGCCAATGAAGAGGTACATACATACGGACGGCAGCACCACTGTCACACCCTTACAACTGTGCTTCTCCATTCACCTCCCCCATGTCGCACCTCCCCTATGCCCCACCTCCCCCACTCCCCACCTTCCCATTACCCCACCTCTCCCACTATCTCCCTCTGTACTGCCTCCTTTTGCCCCATTTCCCACCTTCCCCGTGGTTCTTACATGATGCCTGTCTCATTTCCCGTTTCTCCTCTCTCCCCGCTCTTTCTCCTTCCTTCCTCTCCTTTCACCTGGCAGGCAAATCACCGGCATAGATTGACGGCCCACGCCCTTCCTATTTGAAGCCTCGCCTGTATGCTCTTCAAAGCCGAACGTGATTTTGGGATCGGTTCTGTTCAGCTCGTCACAAAAACTTTTTTTTCTCCACACCATGAATTTAATCCAGTGAATTTTAAACCCACTGATTGCAGTTCCATTCACTTCCCTCCCCTGCACCACCCACTCTTTCGCCCCATTCTCCTCCTTACGCTCCAACACACCAGCCTAGATTGTCAGTCTGTATGTATCCGTTTTCATCATACCATACTACAGCCGCATAATACTACCGTAGTAACTAAGAATTCTCCAGTCAATGCCTATCCTTCCCTGCCGTCCCTTGCTCCACCTCTCCATTCTGCCCACACCTTCCCTCTTCTCTGTCCACATGGCAGCCAAATCACAGGCACAGTCTGGCTGCTCCTGGTCTTCCCATATGATGCCGTACCATGCCATGCCATGTCATGCCATACCTCTTGTTCCTTCTTGAAGTTGCCACGCTGCTGACTCCAACCTCCAAGATGAGTCAGTCTGGGACCTTGATCCCTTCAGTGAAGCACCGAGCCTTGCTCTCGACTCACACACTGAGGGACCATTCCTGTGGGGACGCAAGTGTCTCGATGCTCTTTTTCCCGAGTCGCGTCGAAGCATTTTGCCAACCTCGCGTCACAAAAAAATGTATGTATCGCGACACTGGGCGACCAGGCGAAATGTACAGTTGTGCGCATTTGATTGGGTGACACACATGACCATACACTCGTTTTTTCAACCGAACGGCAGGGCTGTGGTTTCGATGCGCGGGATTTTTGCTTTCGCGAAATTGGCATCGTCGGGTGTTCAGGTGCATGTGGATGTGGTCATGTCAAGCATTTCGAGTCGCGTGCTGTTTGTTAACAATGACGGGTCGATTCGCAATTCATCAGCGACGTCAGCGCGTTTCATGCTGACCAATTAAAAATACAGCACTGGTCGCTGAAAGTAGACTCTCGTTTCGGACACAGTACATTTTATGTCGTTTTCGTTTGTCACCAAGTGATTGAGACACTTATGTCCCTACAGGAATGTTCCCTGAGGTCAAAATTGCGTTGTAACTGGGGCATATATTATATTCACTTTACAGCATAGCGGTGTCTCATGAACACTCACATATATACAACCTTCCTACTCGGCACGAGAAGTTCTCAAGGGCGAAGCAGTAGAACTGGGCGCAGGGTGCGAATCCTAAGCAGGTGTGGAACCAGGTGCGGGCTGCGAACCAGGTGCAGGGTGCGAGCCAGGTGCAGGGTTTGAGCCAGGTGCGGCTTGAGAGCCAGGTGCGGCTTGAGAGCCAGGTGCGGGATTAGAGCCAGGCGCAGGATTAGAGCCAGGCGCGGGTTTCGAGCCAGGCGCGGGATTAGAGCCAGGCGCGGGATTAGATCCAGGCGCGGGATTAGAGCCAGGCGCGGGGTGCGAGCCAGGCGCGGGGTGCGAGCCAGGCGCAGGTTGGGATGCGGGCGCGGAGGGAGGGGCGACAATGCCAGCAGCGCGTTCCGCCGCGTCCGCCTTGGCGTCGAACGCAGCCGCGATCGCCGCCTTCTGCGCCGCCTTCTTCTCCGCGGCCAGTCGCAGCGCGTTCTTGTTCTTCCACGCCGCGCGCGCCTGCTTCACCGCCACGAGCGCGCGCTTGAGCGCCTTCTCCGCGTCCTTCGCGCTGACCTCCGCCGCCTTCTGTGCCGCCTCCGCCTCTTGTGCGTCTTCCGCCGCCTCCGCCACCTCGTCCTCCTTCTCCAGCTCCGCGTCCGACGGCGCGCTGGCGCTCTCCGCCGCGCTCGCCTCGTCCTGCTCCTTCTCCGCCGCGTCCTCCGCCGCCGCTAGCACCTGCTCCGCCGCGAGCGCCTCCTTCGCGAGCGCGTCGGCCTGCTCCTTGGCTTTCTTCGCGTCGTCGCCGGCTTTCTTCGCCTTGTTCGCCAACGCCTTGTCGCCCTTCTTCTTCTTCGCCTCCTGCTCCGCCGCGTCGCTCGCTGCTTTCGCGTCCGCCGCGATCTTCTCCTGCTTGGTTTTCTCCGCGTTGACTTTGTCTAGCTTCTGCTGCGCCGCTTTGACCTTCGCCTCTGCGGTTTTCACGTCAGCTTTTTTCTTGTCAACGTTCTTCGACTTCACTTCGCGCGCTTTCTTCATTTCGTCGAGCTGCTTTTTCGCGGCGTCGAGAGATTTCTTCGCGTTTCCCTTCGCCGCGGCCGCGGACGTCGCGCCGGTTCTCGCGGCGGTGAGCGCGGCGGAGGCGGCGTCCGCGGCGGCTATGGCGGCGTTGAGGTCGGCGAGCGCCGCGGCTTCGTCTTGTCTGCGCTGCTCCGCGATCGCCTCGGCCTCTGTGGCTGCTGCGGCGGCTTTGTCGGCGAGAGCTCGCACTTTGACAGCCTTCTGCAGCAATGTCTCGGTGGGAGCTGCTCGGTGACGCGCCGCGAGGGCTGGGGTTGTCGAGAGTGCGATCATGGAGATAATGACTAGAAATAAAGGAAGACTGGAAAGGCGTGGAGCCATTCTCGAGACTCTCGGTAAGGGATTGCCAGAGGAGAGGACAGGTGGAATGCTGAATCGCGTATGCAGAATTGCGTGTGTCGGGGGTTGTGATAAATGACTCAGTAAGCGAGGGAGTATGATGGTACTACTAGCTCCTGTGGATGTAGAATGGTTTGCCTGAAGAAATTTGCGACCTTTAGTATGCTCGAATTCTTCTAGCCGGGTTGGATTTGGGGAGGTGCCTGGTTGCGTCGCGATTCGCGATTCGCGATTCGATGCTCGGGGATTGCTTGCGGTGCAATGCATTTCTTGCAAACAGTGTCAACTGAACCTGGTGCAGACAGGCACGATTCCTCTGTGGAGCGCGGGTGGGTTTGTGTTGTAACGGAAAATAGGACTCAACTACCCGTTCTTCATTCTCCCACCATCCTCGCTGAACTGTAGTTTGCGTTGCGAGGAAACAGGAAGAGAAATGTGTCGTGCAGATGATGAGCTGGGGCTGGGAAATGAGGTTGGGCAGATCAACGAAAAGTTCCGTGTTGTGGAAAGATGTGCCATAGGACCGCTTGTCCAGACTCCAGACCCTAAGTAAAGGTAGCTTGTGGAGCATGCTCATTGCTCACGCGTTCCCTCCGCTGAAGCAGTGTGCTGTGCCCACTGCCCATCCATGGTCACAAGTGGGGAAGGGAGCGAAACATGCGCTTTGTTTTCGTCGACGGTATTCAACGAGATGGTTGTTGAGAAAATTCTTGGGAGTCGCAAATGTTTTTGCGACTAAACCCGTGAAGAGATCGAGCCTAAGCATAAATTTGATATCTTTTTGCAGGCACCGAGTCTCAGCCAGGTCTACATCCTCAAAGTCCAGGCTGGACAAATGCTCTTGGAGAAGGAATGGCGTGAGAGACCTGTTTACTGTATTTCAGCAGAATGGAATGTAAAAGCCAGAGGGCAACAACTTCAACAAACAAAGCACAGCGCAAAACCTTGCACACTGTCGTGTCAGCGATGTCATACGCGTGTGGTGTGATACACCCTATTTGCGATACTTTCTTACCCTTTAAATGTACACCCTGGGGGTACATTCCCGGGATACAAACTTTCTTGCAGGGTAGTTCGCTGCGAAATGGAATAGCTGGTGAGCGTTCCGAAACCCAGTCGCAAGTAGACGTAAGCATTAAAAACTTCAGTCGCGCCTACGTCACCACCACCAACGTCTCCGCTAGTGATCCATTTGACAGTACACTAGGTCATTTACACATTAGTAGACTTCACTTGTACATTGGCTCTTGCGGGCTCTTCATTACCATAGAATTGTTAGACGGTGCTGCATCACCTGACATTTAAGTAAATTTTCAAAAGGCGACTTCACCGGGCTGGTGGATCAGCCCGCCCAAAATGAATATGGGGGCCTGCTTGAAACCCGCCTATTCCAAATAAACTACCTGTGGGTTTCATCATCGCGGCGAGTGGGATATCCAGAGGGTTGCGATCGCGATGCCCATGTCGAGCATATTCAAAAACTTGGTGCGAGTCAGGCGCATTGCGGTCCCATAGATTCCAGACTTTCCTAATACTCATTGATATGGTTTCAGTTCAGTCAGAGATGTCCGCAATGAATGGTGCATCATTTTGTAATGGGTCTTTTCCACAAGGAAGAATACGTCTGTTTGTTGATATTTTCACCGACCCCCCTCCTCTCCCTCCTGCTTCAACTCCAAGCCCCAGTGGTCTAACCTTCGGGACGCCACAACCATCCTTGGTCTCACCTTCGGGACGCCACATCACAACCATCCCCTCCCCACCCCCTTTTCCTCTGCTTTTCCCTCCCCTCACTCGCTCCCCTCACTGCCCTCACTGCCCTCACTGTCCTCACTGCCCTCACTGAGCTCACTGCCCTCACCGAGCTGACTCTCCCCTCGTCCTCCCCCCAACCAATCGTTTTATCCCACATTCTCGTCTCTCGTATCTCCCATCCTCCCTCTCTTCCTCTTTCTACACACCGGTATGCATTCACAAACCTATACACTTACATGTGTACACAGCATTCCCCATCCTTCCCATCCCAGCAGAACCAGGCAGGCAGGCCCCTCACACACCCAGCACACCCCGCACCTCTTATCGTCTCACAAGCACAACTCGTCTGCTGTCACCTCCTCGCCCCATAATCTCTCCTCCTCCCACAATCTCTCGCCCTCCCACCCGGTCAACACCTTGACCTCTCACCATCACCGCCTCCGCTCTCCCCTCCAACCCTCCCTCCCCTCCACCCACTCCTCCCACCGTTCCACCCTGTTTCCTCCCCCCCACCTGAGAAAGCACCTGGCCCCGCCGCAGCCACCTGGGCAGCGAAACCATCCTGAATAAACCACCAGATTCAGCTGCTCCTCCCGTGCTACCGCCTGGGCCGGGGGAGGGGAGAGGCGAGTGCGGCACAGGGGCCTTGGAGAGCGAGAGCAGGAGGGAGAGAACAGAGAGAGCGAGGAGCGAGAGGAGAAACGGGGCCTTGGCAGACGGGCGTGCTCGCATCATCTGGAGCTCGTGGGCTGTGCGGAAGAGGAGCGAGGAGGGGGTGACGGGCAGGCGAGTGCCGTTGGAGGCGGCAAACGCGGAGAGGGCTGCGGTGATGGAGTGGGAGGAGCGGAAGCCGTGGTAGAGGAGAGGCGGGTCCGTGTGTGAGGGACTGAAGAGGTGGAGCGTTGGGAAGGCGACGATGCCATATTGCGCTGCCAGGATGCTGCGTGGAAGGGGGGTAGCAGGGAGGGGAGTGGGAGGGGAGTGCTGATAGGGCGAGAGGGGAGTGAGGTCGGGAGTAGGCAGGGAGTTGGAAGTACAGGCGTTGGAAGTGAGGCCTAAAACTCCTGTAGAATAGAGGAAATCTGAATAGACCTGGAACTGTGGGCTCAATGAAAAGGGAAGATTACATGGCGGATTAGGGAGAGGGTAGCAAGCGGCAACGGGGAGAAAGGTTTTGAGGCGCCTCTTGTGGTGATTCATGAGGCGCCTCACACATCACCTTTTGAGTCGACTCAGAAGTCACCTTGAGGTGATTCATGAGGCGCCTCACACATCACCTCAATGCACGCGGAAAAGGAAGATCATATGGCGGGTTGGGGGGAGGGTAGCAAGCGGCACGGGGGGAGAAGGGCTGGTGGGTGGCGGTAGGAAGCAAGAACGTGAATGCATGTCATGCACATACACGGTGTAAAAAAGAGAATAAAGGCCTTCGTAGATAAAGGGCTGAATTCTCTCTGAATAGGAGGCTGAAGAGAAGGCCGAATCGAACGATGAATAAAAGGGCTGAATAGATAAAGGGCTGAATTAAGGGCATACTAGTGCTTCTTGCAGTTGACTGCTCCGACGTGCACCCCCCCCGTGTGTGCGACCGCAGCAGCTGCAGCTATGATGTGCGGCCTGAGCGCCCTGCAGTGGTGGCACAGGGGATGGTACAATGCCACTAGCCAGATAGGCACTGGGGGAGGGGGTGTGGCGGTGGGTGGTGGGAGTGAGGGAGAGGAGGAGGAGGAGGAGGAGGAGGAGGAGGAGGAGGAGGAGGAGGAGGAGGAGGAGGAGGAGGAGGAGGAGGAGGAGGAGGAGAAGGAGGAGGAAAAAGAGGAGGGAGTGGTAAGGAATCCTTTTTGGATGGACGCAAATGCAGCAGCCAACTGAAAAGATTCCCTCGCTCCCCCTTCCTCCATCCCTCCTCCATCCCACTCCTGCCCGTGCATCGTATTCCCACTTGGAGTCAGTACCTTCCGAGTCACCTCAGAAGCCTCCAGGGTACCAGCCACTGGTACTACTGAGGGAACCCCCCTCTTGTGATGAGGCGACTTTTGAGTCGACTCAAAAAGCACCTTCCGAGTCACCACAGAAGCATCCAGAGTACCAGCCATTGGTACTGCGGGAACGTCTCTCTTAAGTGACTTTTGAGTCGATTCAGAAGCCTCCAGAGTACCAGCCATTGGTACTACTGAGGGAACGTCCCTCTTGAGTTGACTCAGACGTTCCCTCTCAAATCTCGGATCCTCCTCGCTTGTCTCGTGTTTGTCCCTTTCCTCTCCTTCCCCTTCCCCAGTTTCCACAGCTTCCCCTTCCTCCTCGTCCTCCTCTTCTTTCTCGCCCTCTTGACCCTCCTCTTCCTCCTCCCCTCCTTCCCGCGTTTCCTCTTCCCCAACCTCCCCACCTTCCTCCCCCCTTTCCTCCCCCCCTTCCTCTAACCCCTCTTTCCCCCCTGCGTCTTTCACACCCCCCCCGCCACCCCCCACTGCACGCCTCTCATCTCCCCCCCCACCTCCATCTACCCGCCCTGCAAGCACCCTACCGCGCTTTCCGCCGCTTCTCCTCCAATCCCCCGCCGCCTTCCGCCCCCCGCTCCCCCGCATCCCCGCCCGCCATGCGTCCCCCACCGCCCCATCTCCGCTCTCCGCTGCGCTCCGGCGGACACCCTCGTTTCCCCCGCCCTGTACTCCTGAAAGTTCCGCCTCCTCTTCCGCCCCCTCTTCCGCGTCCTGTTCCGCCTCCGCCTTCCTTTCTGACTGTAACGGGGACGGCCGTACCACGACTGCCTCCCGCTGCTGCAGATGAAGCGGAGGCTGCAGCGGCGGGGGAAGCGGCGCTAAGTGCGGCGGCGCGCGGAGCGGCGCGAGGACTTCGTTCGCGAGACTGGCGGCGTCGAGTTCGCGAACGCCGGTATCGCCGCCGAAAAGATCCTCCGCCGCCGCGAATCGCGGCGAAAAAAACGGCGGAGCGCACGAGAGAAGGACGAGCACGAAGGTGAGGGGAAGCGGCGGGAGCGGCATTGAAAGAGGTAAACTCCCACCGCCGGTATCAACCGCGAGAGGTTATTGGAGACATATTTAGAGCGTGCGTTAGACAAACGTGTACTTCATGATAGAGCGACCGCTGTAGTCAGATGATCTTGGCCGGCGTGACATGGACGGTCGGGATTGGATCGCAAAATTGCTTCGCATGCTCCTCGTGCGGGTGGGAAGACCAGTTTGGCGAAAACGACGAGAAGAGATGTTGCTTGTGCGCGGGTCGCAGACTATCACATGGGTGGGTTGCGATGGGTACAGTTTGCCATTGCCGTACGGTTGCGATGGGGAGATGATACGTACGGACGGAGTTTGCGTGGGGGATGCCATTCCATCCATCCATGGCACACCACACAAGAGCGACGAATGTCCTCGTTAAGAAGACACTCGAATGGTTCAATTGCTCGATGAATAAGGTGTAAAATCTTTGGAACAAAACTCTATGTTTTTTGCCGGAAAGCATTCACTGTACTAAGCTTTGCCCAACCATGTCAGGGAGGCATCTCCATGCAATTGCCGCCATATCAGCCACAAGGCATGAGTTGAACTCGTTTGAACGGTGAGTAGCGAGCAGCACCAGGATCGTTAGAGCACTGTCTGATCGATCCATCATGGCATGCTCACTCGTTTCTCTACAGACCGTACCCCTGCTACATCCCAGATTATCGCGCGCAAATCTCGCACGCTCACGCGCAAGCGCGCGCGCATTCCTTCCCGCGACCCTATCCCCTTCTCCCGATCCCAGCCCGAGTCCCGCCCTTCGTGTCCGCCCTCCGCGCGTGTTTCCGCGACTTCTTCCGCGCGTCCCCAATCTCCGCGCGTTTCCATTCCCGCGCGCCGAAGCACACCCGTCGCACTCCCCCGGCAGAAGAAGACCAAACGCAGCAGCATCGCCATCATTATCACCACCAGCAGCACCACCATCAGCACCACCATCACCAGCACCGTCACCACCAGTGCCAACAGCAGCAGCAGCACCACCACCACCAGTAGCACCACCGGCAAAAGCACCAGCAGCAGCAGCACCACCAGCAGCACCAGGAGCAGCAGCAGCAGCAGCAGCAGCAGCAGCAGCAGCAGCAGCAGCAGCACCAGCAGCACCAGGAGCACCAGCAGCACCAGGAGCACCAGCAGCACCAGGAGCACCAGGAGCACCAGCAGCACCAGGAGCACCAGGAGCACCAGGAGCACCAGGAGCACCAGGAGCACCAGCAGCACCAGGAGCACCAGCAGCACCAGGAGCACCAGGAGCACCAGCAGCACCAGGAGCACCAGGAGCACCAGGAGCACCAGGAGCACCAGGAGCACCAGGAGCACCAGCAGCACCAGGAGCACCAGGAGCACCAGCAGCACCAGGAGCACCAGCAGCACCAGGAGCACCAGGAGCACCAGGAGCACCAGGAGCACCAGCAGCACCAGGAGCACCAGGAGCACCAGGAGCACCAGGAGCACCAGGAGCACCAGCAGCACCAGGAGCACCAGGAGCACCAGCAGCACCAGAAGCACCAGCAGCACCAGGAGCACCAGGAGCACCAGGAGCAGCAGCAGCACCAGCAGCACCAGGAGCACCAGCAGCACCAGCAGCACCAGGAGCACCAGGAGCACCAGGAGCACCAGGAGCACCAGCAGCACCAGCAGCACCAGGAGCACCAGCAGCACCAGGAGCACCAGCAGCACCAGGAGCACCAGGAGCACCAGGAGCACCAGCAGCACCAGGAGCACCAGCAGCACCAGGAGCACCAGGAGCACCAGGAGCACCAGGAGCACCAGGAGCACCAGGAGCACCAGCAGCACCAGGAGCACCAGGAGCACCAGCAGCACCAGGAGCACCAGCAGCACCAGGAGCACCAGGAGCACCAGGAGCACCAGGAGCACCAGCAGCACCAGGAGCACCAGGAGCACCAGGAGCACCAGGAGCACCAGGAGCACCAGCAGCACCAGGAGCACCAGGAGCACCAGCAGCACCAGAAGCACCAGCAGCACCAGGAGCACCAGGAGCACCAGGAGCAGCAGCAGCACCAGCAGCACCAGGAGCACCAGCAGCACCAGCAGCACCAGGAGCACCAGGAGCACCAGGAGCACCAGGAGCACCAGCAGCACCAGCAGCACCAGGAGCACCAGCAGCACCAGGAGCACCAGCAGCACCAGGAGCACCAGGAGCACCAGGAGCACCAGAGCACCAGCAGCACCAGGAGCACCAGGAGCACCAGGAGCACCAGGAGCACCAGGAGCACCAGGAGCACCAGCAGCACCAGGAGCACCAGGAGCACCAGGAGCACCAGCAGCACCAGGAGCACCAGGAGCACCAGGAGCACCAGGAGCACCAGCAGCACCAGCAGCACCAGGAGCACCAGGAGCACCAGCAGCACCAGCAGCACCAGGAGCACCAGCAGCACCAGCATGGGCAACAACAGGGCCACTCTATCCAAACAGGAGACCCGCACGCCGCCACCCTCAACGCACACCCGCTGCCGAACTTCCCCGTGCTCCCCCCGTGCCTGCCGGCGAAAGCAACCCGCCACGAGGGTTCCACAACCAGGGCACGGGACCGTCAGATTCAGCGTTAAGGAGTCTAAACCCAGGGTCACCCTCACCCACACCACGGTACAGGGGGGAATTGGAAGACTATCCTGTCTTTCCAGCACCTGCAGGCACACGTGCACCGAATTCACCTGCACGGGGCCCACATGACCCACGTGACCCACGTGGCCCACGTGGCCTCCCATCCAAACGGTCCCCTTATCCTTTCGAGTCCACTCAAGTGTCACCCAGACTTGCACGGAACCCGCAAGCCCTCTCGCCTAAATGGTCTCCCAAACCGCGTTTTGATACGTCTCAGCAGGACCCACATACCCTCCCACCTGAACCTGGGTCTGCACCGAACCCACATCATGGCCTCCCATCAAAATTCTCTCCCAACCCGCGTTTTGACACCTCTCCGCAAGACCCACATACCCTCCCACCTGGACCTGGGTCGGGACCGAACGCACATGACGATGATCGCCCATCCAAATACTCTCCCAATCCGCGCCTGCCCTTCCCTGAGACCCACCTCTCCTGCCCCACGCCGCTTCCCCTCCCCCGCGCTCCCAGCCAACGTCCTGGCCGCCTTTCACGCCGTGACACGCGCCTGCCGCCTACCATGCAGTGCCTCCGCCTCGGGCGGCCGCTGGAGCGCCACGTGTCGGGCCGCCATTCGCCGAGGAGCGAATACCTGGTGGTTGAGGAGCTGGTTGCTGAGCTGGCACACATGGAGAGCCTTGATTGGTCGTCTCCTTTTGTCGAGAGCTCGGATAAGACGAGCTTGGGTACAGGTGAGAATGTCTATACTACTAGTGCTGATACCAGTAGGAAAAGTACCAGCAAAAGCGACAGAAGCAGCAGCAGTGGCGGCAAGGTGGAAGTGGGTGATTATGCTGACGTGACGGGGGTTGAGATCGGGAGGTTTTTAGGGGGCATGCGAGGGTGGCCTGTGGGTACTTGGCAGCACCTGCTTCTGCTTCTCTTCCCTCCAGATCCCAACCTTCTATTCTCTCAGCCAGCAGGGACGCAAGCAACACCAGTCAGACAGCAGCAGCAGCAGCAGCACCAGCAGCAGCAGCAGCAACGGAAGGAGGAGCGGCAGCAGCAGCAGCAAAATCAGTATCGCTCGCAGGCTTTTCTCTGGGACCCGCCTCCCGAGCCTCCCCCGCCGAACCTCCTGCTGGCTACGCGAGGCTCGGCGGCGGTGGATCGGCAGCTGAGGCTCGTGCAGCGAGGGCTGACAGCATCGGTGGTGGCGGCGGTGGTGGGGGGTTCGCAAGAGAAAGGAGCTTTGAAGGTTGCTTCTAGGGTCCTGCTTTGGTGGTGCTGCTGCTGGCAACGCTGGTGGTGGCAGGAACAAGAGAGAACTCACATGCTGATGCAGCAACAGCAGCAGCAGCAACAGCCGCAGCAGCAGCAGCAGCAGCAGCAATCCCTCTCTTCCTCCTCCTTTCCCTCCCCATCCCTCCCCGTCATTCCGTTCCCTCGCATGTCCCCATCCACGCCCCACCTCCTCCTGCTTCTCATGCTCCTCGCCCCCTGCTGCACACCCAGAGCGCTCTCCACAGCACGCCTGCTGCTGCAGCAAGCAGGTGAAACCAGCAGCAGCAGCAGCGGCAGCAGCGGCAGCATGGCTCCAAGTGAACCAGCAGGACCAGGAGCCGCAGCTTCAGCGGCGGAGGCAGCAGTGGCGGAAGTGGCGAGAGTGGTGGCGGAGAGAGGAGGGCTTGCAGATGCAGTGGCATGGGTAGTGGGCGCGAATCCATCTGGACTTATTGCAAGAGTGGGTGTGGCGAGTGCATTGGTGGGGGTGGCGCAAGTGGCGTCATTGCAAGGCAGGGAGGGCGTGGTCAGAGTGCTGCTGGAGGGGTTGGGGGGTCTAGGCGTGCGGGGATTGGACAGGAGTCCAAGGGAAGGCTGTGAGGAAGGGAGTGGAGGAGATGGGGTTGTGAGAGGTGGGGGAGGGAGGGGTGAACGTGCGAGGGAGAGCGAGGAAGGGAAGGAGGAGAGGGAACTGGTAGAGGAGATTAGATCGCTTATCTCACTCGTCCCAATCTCCACCACTCGTTCCCTCCTTCTCTCTTCATGTCTCGGATTACATTCGGCTTATCCATGCCTGCGCGCTTCCGGGCCTCTTGCCGAACCTGAAGGTACTGGCTCGGGGAATTTCCGAGCTGTCAACGTCTCACCTGGCAGGGAAGAGCAGCAGGTCAGAGTCCCCGTCGGCGTTACCACACTGGTCCAGTTCCCGAGCCAGCTTACCAGGCTCGGTGCCGGGCCTGTCAGGTTCGGGATCGTGGCGGGCGGCGCTGATCCATGCGTATCTGCGGGTGGGAGCAGTGGATGACGCTGCTGCTGCTGCCAGGGCTGCGATTGAGGCCATGAGTGGGAGGTGTTTCGAGTCACCTCATATGCCACTTCAGGAATCAGGGTCTGGGGTTAGAGAGGAGGAGAAGGAGCAGGATGAGGAGTTGGACAAGCAGTCGAAGGGGCGGAGGCAGGGGAAAGGGAGAGGAGGTGAGAGGGTGGTGGCTGCTGGTGAGGCGTGGCAGATCCAGGGGAGGTGGCAGAGGGGTAGCGGTGGAGGGAGGGGTGGTGGCAAGAGGGAGGGGAGAGATCCTGCTGTGGTTGGGGAGGATGTGGGGATGGGGGGCATTGGAACAGCCTGCTTCCTTCCTCCTCCCCATCCTCCTCACTCCCACAACCACTTATATTCCTGCGGGGTGTATTGAAGGACATGCACATGTCGGGATGCCGACCTCTTCCCCGCACGCTCGAGCTCATGCACCTATGCTGCTACGCTGCTGCTGCTGCTGCCGGTGCTGCCGCTGGTGCTGCCGCTGCTGGTGGTGGTGCAGCTGCTGGTGCTTCTGGTGCTGAGACTGGTGCAACAGCGGCTGCAGGAAGAGTTGAGTCGAGTGAAACTGCTGCTGCCGCTGCTGCCAGTTCTGCGAGAATGTCAGATGATGCTACAGAGGCTGCTGCTATGGCTGCAATGGAGGAGCTAGAAATGGAATTGGCGAAGTATGAGTTGAAATGGTAGGGTAGTGTATTATCTCACCTTCAATCCGTTCAGGGGAGAACCAAAATCTCATAAGCAGACTATCTATTTCTAGCTGGTCATTTGAAACAGCATTTCCGATTCCAAATAAGATGGGACAACTGAATGGCACTTGCTTTTATTATCACCTTGAGCAACTAAGAACTAACACTGGAGAGCGCATCTCTTTATTCTAATCTCCAATCTATCTCTACTGGTCTAACAAAACAGTCTAATGTTAATCAAGCCAGCACAAACAAAAATCGCACGGGCGTGTATTCGACCTGTAGTTATTTCCTCTCGCAGTGAGTCCCTGTCGATACGCTTACTGCGTCTGTCAATAGGGGTACTGCCCGATGTAGTTACCAGGCGGGTAGTAATCGCACGCCCAGACGGTCCACCCATTCGCGCAATCCACCCGACCACACCCAACCTGCTTCGTCGTCTCCCAAACCACTTGCGTGTAGTGCCCGCACTGCTTCCCAGCGCGGCACGAAGCTGGGTATTTCCCATGCTTGTAATCTTTGATCTCGTCCACCCACGCCTGCACTGCATCCGCGTTTTTGTAAAATCCGTTACAGCAGCCCGCGAAAAGGTTCTGTCCCACGCCCTTGGTGTCGCCGTGCTCAAGCTGCATGCACTGATTCTTCTTCGCCAGCACGCGCGCCCAGTTCTGCGCGCGCAGCGCCACTGCGGGCAGAAGGGAAAAGAGAGGAAATGGATACCGATGGTGAGGGGACGGGGTGCAGCGCCCGCGGACACAGGAGATGTGCGAGAGAGGTGCGGGAGGGGCGCAGGAGTAGGGGAGCGCAAAACAAAATGTTCTCTTGGCGGCAAGGTGGGGAAAACGCGAGGCGGCTGGCTTACATGACACGTTCCACGCGAGCGGCGCGAGGCCGACGGCGCTGCGAGCGGCATTATGCCCCATAATATACTCGAGAACCGCGGAGGTGCCGGTCGCCTCTGGTGGTGGGGAAACAGCCGTACAACGGAACGGGGAAAAACAGGCAGAGCAAAGGAAGGGAATAGCAATTGAGGGCGAGTGAGCAGACACATCGACGTGCAAAAGGACAGAGTGTGAGAAGGACAGACGGGAAACAAGTGAGGAGTAGGCTTTTCTTTTCCAACTCAAAAAAAGGATCCTGCAGAAAACGGGTGGCGGGGTGCGCGCGCACCTTTGCAGATGCCGCCGACGGGCGGGCTGCCGCTGCGGCAGATGCAGAGTGCCTTGCCGTTGGTGGCCTGGCACGACGCTCCCGCGGGGCAGTTCACGGACGCGCACACGTCTGCGCGGGGAGACGCGGGGGGCAATGGCGGAACGCAGGGGGAGGGAAGGCGGGGAGAGAGAAGAGGACGACGAAGGTGAGGATGAGATACGTAGGGAACGGGAGGTGCGGGGAGAGGAGGGAGAAGAGGAAGGAGAGGAGGGAAGGGAAAGGAGAGCGAGGGAGGAGGTGGTATGAACAGATCCAAAAGCTACAGGCGGCCAGAAACAAACGCTCACTTTTTCTGGATTTCGTTTCGTTTTTCTTCTTAGCGGGCGGCGCAGACGCCGCAGAACGCGGGGGGGAAGGGGACGGGGAACGCTTGTGGGAAGGGGATTGCGTATGAGAGCGAGTGTTCGCGAGAGTAGCTGCGGCTGTGGAGCGGGTGGAGGAGGAGGGAGTAAAAGGGGCGGAAGTCGTGAACGTACTGATGCACTTGCCGCCGATGGACGTGTAGCCACGCTTGCATGTACACGCGGCAGTACCGGCGGGAGTCACGGTGCATTTGGAATGGACTGGGCAACGAACCGTGGAGCACGCGCTCTTGGCTGAGAGAACGGAGGCGAGACGGGCGGGGGGGGGCGGGGCGAGGGAGAAAGGAAAATAAATTTGTGGGAACGCGAGTAGGGAAAGCGCGGGGTGAAGGCATGAATAGCGACGAATATCTATCAAGTTTGGCACAGGCGACGTGAAGATAACGGCGACGGTGACGGTGACGTAGACGGCGACGGTTACGGGTGATGACAAAGGTAACGTCAAAGCGCGAAGTCACTCACCAATAGTGCACGAGACGGATACGGCGCGGCTGTTCTCCGCAGGAAACGCCTTAACGGCAGAGATCGGATAGTCGAACTTATTCGGATCCGCAGGCAAAGGCAGGCTCACGAACACTCCGCCGCCAGTGCACCCAGCCTTCATCCAAAACGTAACCGACTGGCAGATGAAGTGGTTGTGCGTCTTATCCGCCACGTTCCAGACCACCTTCGCAGAGTGCAGGTTCGCGTAGAATCCGCGCGGGAGGGTCACGCAGGTGGCGCTAGGGCTCGGCCACGTGATCAACGCAGGCTTGAGAACCGCGGGGAGGTTCTTGTAGTTGGGGAGATTCCACACGCCCACGCGCGTCCCCACCACGGGGGGGTCCTCGACAGGTGGGACACGTGGCGCGGTGGGGATGACTGGGCGCTTCGGCAGAACGACGGGGGTCTTAGCAGGGGTTTCGGCGATGGGACGCTTCGTAACTGGCTTTTTTGCGACGCCGACGGGAGTTTTGGGGACGACGGGCGTCTTAGGAGCGACGGGGGTCTTAGGAACCACGGGCGTCTTAGGAACCACAGGCGTCTTAGGAGCCACGGGGGTCTTAGGAGCGACGGGCGTCTTAGGAACCACAGGCGTCTTAGGAACCACAGGCGTCTGAGGAACCACGGGCGTCTGAGGAACGACAGGCGTCTTAGGAACAACCGGAGTTTTGGGAACCACAGGAGTCTTGGGAACAACGGGCGTCTTAGGAACCACGGGAGTTTTGGTAACCGCGGGAGGGGTTGTAGATGCTGGTAGTTTGGGGAAATTTCCGGGCGTGGTGGATGCAACGGGTGTCTTAGCCGCAGGGGCCTCTGTCGCGCTCTTCCCCTTCCCCTTCTTGCGCCCGCCGCCCTTCTTGTGCCCGCCGCCCTTCTTGTGCCCGCCGCCCTTCTTGTGCCCGCCGCCCTTCTTGTGACCCCCTGCCTTCTTCTTGTGTCCACCGGTCTTCTTCTTCTCCGGCTTGCTGGTGGCCCCCACGACGGTACGGTTTAACGGAGTTCCCTCGTCCACGGCGCTAGCGGATTTGAGAATGCGCTCTGCGTGGGATAAAGGAAAATGAGTATCCAGAAATCAGACACACCGGAACCGGCGTTCGAAAACACGACGAGATGCTTGAAGAAAAACAGACTCGACAGGAAGGCCACTCTCGAGCGGCGTTTTCCGAAAAAAACCACCGAGGTTGGGATCGATTCCATTACTTCGTTCCTATCCTTTCCACGATCATTTTCTGCAACAAGCTGGAAATTGATGCACTTTTGCACGTACCTCGTCTGACAGGCTCGAAGGTGTCGAATTCGATGGGCGGGACGGTTTCGTCCTCGGCGAGATCCAATTGATGCAGTTCTGTCTGCAGTTCCATCATATCCGCGTCCGCTTCCCATGCTTCGGCTGAAAATAGCGCAAGGGGAAACATCATAGCACAGGCAGCAGTCGAAGGTGACGGTCAGAAGGAACTCTTTTCAGGGGTGGGAGTGAAGTGTATCTTCAGGTCAAAGGACGCACAAGACGGCAAAGGCGCATGCTGTGAGTAAGGCAAACTTGGAGATGGAGGGAAGTGAATCGAAGATTGGGGGTGGTTTTCATTCAGGTGGATTGCACACTAATCGTAGTAGAGAAACAACGCAAACCTTTCGTATATTCGCACCTGCGAAGACTGCCGGGATGAGCAGAATGCAAATTGTCAGAAGAACAGCTCTCCATGGTACCGCCATCTTGGAAAGCGGAGCTTCTTCGACAGTCGAACCCTCGGTCTGAAGGTGATTTCTCCCGAAGATTTTGACAGAAATAAAGAATGAGGACTCTAATTACTCTTGCTGTGAGAGATCATCTGTTGGGCCGAGCTGTGATGCTACTCGTATGGATTCGTAGGAGCTCCTGAAATTGTCGGTGATAAGTGATGCACTAACATTACCCTTGTAGGCTACTGGTGCTTGTGAGGAGGGCCCAATTCAACAATTTCAAGTCACACGAATCATGCCCCGGATTTGATCAATTTTATGACAAATCTGGCGTGCGCCAGCGCGACTCGTTCGTGTGCGCCACCACTTCCCCGTCATCTCCCCTCCCACGGTCCCTGGCCCGCAGAAGCACAACGTGCGGCACTTGCGCTCGATGTGGGCTCAGCGCCCATGACTGTCTGCTGACGGCGTTCCATGCTCGCCGATGTGGCACATTCCATGCACGGATTCACGTCTGTAGTTGGGCGAAACTGCGACGCGTGCTTACGTGGCGAATGGTCTGCAAGCCACAGAGCAAGGTCAAAGGACTGGCGAAGAGCGAAAGTATAGCTCGTGGGTTACTGCTGAACCAAGGTTCGCTTGCGAAATCTTCGTGGACCCACAAGGGCTGGTTGTGCAATTTCACCGAGCCTGTTTTGGAGGGAACCCGAGTATACGTGGTTGGGGTGCTCCCTATCTGCAGTGGCATGGACAACATGGGTGTCTTGCAAAATCGTGATCTCTCCAACGTGATTTACAAGGAATTGACCAGAATACACTTCAATTGTTAGGCCCCTTGGCTTAAATCCGATAAAGATTAGCGGGGTCGACTAAGTCGAGGACGAAACGCGGCGGAAGACTCTGGCGAAAGAACTATTGGCGAAATAAGCGAAGGATTTACTGAGTAATGGAAGAGTTGAATGAGAATTGGTTGATAATGGCAAGTACAAGCAAGGTTAAAGCAACATGCAAGAGCGATTTGCTGGAAAGTACTTCGTGGGACTACAAAGTAGAAGGCAAGAAAGCTTAAGTGCCACGTGGCACTAGGAAATCCTGGATGAGTTGGATGAAGATAAGGTTGGAATGAGATTGGGGGACTGTTTTGGGTAAAATACCCTTGAACAGTAAAGTACCCCGTAATACCACCCCGTAACTAAAGGAGGCGACGTCCGCAGCGCCTGTAGACTGAAGGTACGCTTGGAGACAAGCGTTTTCGGGAGACAGCGAGGACGAAGGAACCCAGTTGTCGTCGGTTGCATCGTAACCACACTAACGAACCAAGAAGTCGATCAAAGAGACACCCCCCTGAAGACGGCGACACTGCCTGAGGATTCGCTTGATCTGGCAGTCGGGCTCGTTGGTGTCAACAGCTACCAGCAGTAAAGTGCGATCACGGCCCGAAAAGGTGGCGTTGGGATCGGTGTAAGGACGAAGAAGCGACACGTGGAATGATATGTGCATGCAGACATGAGAAGGAAGGCGAAGGCGGTGTGCGACTGGTCCTAGTGCACGCTCAATGACGAAGGACCAATGAAGCGAGGGCGAAGCTTGTTGTCCTGTGGCAGTCGGAGGTTGCGGCTATCCAAAAGAACACGGTCGCCGACTACGAACGACACCTCACGACGACTACGGTTGGTGGTGCGTGCCATGCGTGCATTTGCGAGCTCAAGGTGCTTCCTCACGTGATCATGGATGAATGTGAGATGCTGGTGGAAGTTGTCCGCACGAGGGACTGTGGGTGTGAGATTGACACGAGTGGGGACATTGGGGTGCTAACCGTACAGTACGAAGAACGGTGACATGCCTGTGGCGGAGTGGTGCGTGTTGTTGTAGGCGAACTCTGCCATACTCAGCTTCTTGTCCCATGCTACTGCATCGTGCATCGTGATGCTGCGATGAATCTGCTCCAGAGTCTGGTTCACGCGCTCAGTCTGTTCGTTTGTCTTTGGATGGTACGCAGACGACATGGCTGTCCCAAACAGTGCAAAAAGCTGCTTCCAGAACTTTGAGGTGAGTCGAGGGTCGCGGTCGGAAATGATGGAATCGGGAACCCCGTGCAGTCGGATTACGTTATCCACGAACAGCATCGCGGCTTCCTCTGCTATAACCTTGCCGTGCGTGGGGATGAAGTGCGCTGCTCGAGAAAATTTATCCAGGACTACGAAGATGGTGTCGTGACCCCTAACTGTGCGCGGTAATGCCATGATGAAATCCATGGTAACAACCTGCCAAGGGTGGTCGGGCGCTGGAATCGGCTGCTGCGGTCCGATACGCCGCGCATCAGCTCAACTTCTGGCCCCGTGTCTCTGCTCCAGAGACCTCGCCCACACTCCGTTGGACGGGACAGCCTGGTGATGCGTCGTCGTTTCGGGTCTGGGGTGCGCTCTCCCTTGTTCGCGGTACCAAAGCGAGCAAGCTCTCCCCTCGCACTCTCCGCTGTGTCTTCCTGGGCTTCCCCACCGACGCTCCACCTTGGCAGTTCTACCACCCTGCCTCGCGTCGTGTTCTATTCTCTCAGGATGTCACCTTTGACGAGTCGGTCTGTTACTACCGACTTCACCCGCACGCGTCCCACCCGGTCCCTCTCGCACCTCTCTTCCTGGTACCAGTCCCCCCCCGGGTAGACCCCCTTCCCCCACAGGTTCCTGCTCCCTCTGGTGTGTCCCAGGTAGACCCACCCCCCTTGGATGAGCCAGTTGAGATCTCTTCTGACTCCTCTGACTCACCTGAGGGGGGTGACGCCGTCGCCGACGACACGGCGACCACTCGCCGCACTCCTCGCTTGGAGACCCCCCCCCGAGTTTCCCGCCACGGCCGTCTTCGCCGCCTCCGTAGCCTGCTGCTGTGGACTCTGGAGCTGAGACTACTGGAGCTGGGGCTGGGGGTGGTGAGTCCGGGGGTGCCCGCTCTCCTCGTCTGGCTACACCCCCCGGGTTCCCACCTCTGCCGTCTTCGCCGCCTCTGCAGCCTGCTGCTGTGGACACTAGAGCAGAGACTGAGGGTACTGAGCCTGGGGGTGCTGGGACTGAGGGTACTGAGCCTGGGGGTGCTGGGACTGAGGGTACTGGGCCTGAGGGTGCTGCGACTGAGGGTACTGAGCCTGCGAGTGCTGAGACCGAGGGTCTTGCCTCTGGGGGTGCTGCGAGTTCGGGTGCTGACTCTGGGGGTGCTGCGAGTCCTTCTGGTGTTGGTGTCGTCGGAGCTCCTACCGGAGGACCTGGAGCTACTGGTGCTGGAGGTACTGGAGGTACTGCTGGTGCTGGAGGTCCTGGAGGTGCTGCTGGTGCTAGAGGTCCTGGAGGTGCTGGAGGTACTGGAGGTGCTGCTGGTGCTGGAGGTCGGGGAGCTGCAGGTGCTGCTGGTCCTGGTGGAGCTGCTGGTGCTGGAGGTACTGGAGGTGCTGCTGGTGCTGGAGGTCGTGGAGCTGCTGGAGCTGCTGGTGCTGGAGGAGCTGGAGCTGCTGGGGCTGGAGGTGCTGGAGGTGCTGGAGGTCTTGGTGGAGCTACTGGTGCTCTTCGCCACCTTCTCAGTCTTCAGCCAGGTGCTACTGGCTTCCCTGTGGCAGGTACTACTCCTCCGTTGCTGTGTCCACCGGCGGACCAGTCACAGTCGCCGCTGCTACCACACTCCCCACTGCCTGCTCCTACTCCTTACACTGCGGTGTTAGAGTCCCTGACTGAACGTCGAGAGCCTGAGACTCGTGCTTCCACCCTTGAGCGTCGAGAGCCTGAGTCTAGCTTTGACCTTGAGCCTGAGCCTAGAGCTGCTGTCCGTGCTCGTGTTCCTCGTGTTCGTCGTCAGCGTGCTCCGGCTGTCCCCGGCACTCACGATATGACACTCTGTCCTTCCTCTGTTCCCCAGCGTATTGTCCTACCGTTACCTCCTGCGTCCTCTTTGCCTGACGTTGCTGACCCTCCGTCTGACCTTGCTCGTGCGTCCAGTCTGACTGTTACTCGCCTTCTTGCTACGGTTGTGACGGACCCTACGTTCTCGTCTCCTGCTGCGTCTGCCCTAGTAGCTGAGCTCGTTGACTTGGCTGCTGTGTACCGCCTCGACTACCTTGCGAGTCTTGTCTCTGACCCTGTCCCTGCCTGTCCTCCGTCCGTCGGGGGTGAGACTGCTCTTGGCTGCACTGCCCTTGGCTGTGACGTTCTTGAGGACAAACAGGAGGAGCTGGAGTGCCTTGCTGCCGCTTCACCCCATCACGCGACCATGCTGCTTGCCGCTGAGGGAGACCCGGATGCACTTGACATCCCCACCCCGCGCTCCTACAGGGAGGCGATTTTGGGTGAGTACTCCTCTCAATGGCAGACAGCCATGGACACAGAGATGGCTTCCTGGAAGTCCACAGGCACCTACGTCGACGAGCTTCCCCCACCTGGGGCGAACATCGTCAGTGGCATGTGGATTTTCAGGGTGAAGCGGCCGCCGGGTTCTCCGCCTACCTTCAAGGCACGTTACGTTGCTTGAGGCTTCAGTCAGCGTGAGGGGGTCGACTTCTTTCAGACCTTCTCCCCCACCCCGAAGATGACCACTCTTCGGGTGTTGCTACACGTTGCAGCTCAACGTGACTACGAGCTGCACTCCCTCGACTTCTCGACAGCTTTCTTGCAGGGTAGCCTTGACGAGGCCATCTGGTTGCGCCGTCCACAGGGCTTCACTGGGTTGTTTCCTGAGGGTACCCAGTGGAGCCTACGGCGACCAGTGTACGGCTTGCGTCAGGCCCCCCGCGAGTGGCACGACACACTGAGGACGACACTTGCGGCTCTTGGGTTTGCTCCTTCGACTGCTGACCCGTCGCTGTTTCTACGCACCGACACTACTCTGCCGCCGTTCTACATCCTCGTGTACGTCGACGACTTGGTTTTTGCTACTGCTGACACTGAGGCACTGGCCCTAGTGAAGGCGGAGCTGCAGGAGAGACACACCTGCATTGACCTGGGTGAGCTGCGGAGCTATCTTGGCTTGCAGATCACCCGGGACAGAGCACGGGG